TATGGTTAATTATTCATATTTCCCATGAGCTGAGTCGCTACAACTGTCTTTTGAGTAATCAAACATTCAAAAAATGCATAAAGGAGAAGTCATATGCAGCATTAGATTAAATCAATAACTAATTTTCTGACCAGAATTTTTGCATTTGGGCACAGTCAAAACAAATAGTAGTATTTTCCACTGATCAGTTGACAGAATGAGCCATCTCTATTACTGCTGGGTTCGAGGTCAAGTGAACTTTTGCATTATGTGCACTAATAGTGTACTTACCCAGGAAAGTGCTTGATCATATTTAGTAACTACACAGACGTAACGTGCAGGTTCAGGGTTAGTACCCAGCTATTGTAATTACTAAACTAAATTGATAGAATAGCATAGTAAAGTATGTATATGCAGAACAGGACTGTAAAACAAAGAACTACTTTTAGAAGTTTAAACTAGAAGTTTTTAAGTATTGTAATTCCTTATTAGTAAATAATACTGAAAGCACAACATTTTTCTGTAATAAGATTAGATTAGATTCAACTTTATTGTCATTGTGCAGAGTACAGTACAGAGACAATGAAATACAGAAGCATCTAACCAGAATAGCAAAACCTATGTATATTCAAATATAAAATATTACGGTTACGCTTTATTTTAAGGTGTCCATGTTACAGTGTAATTATACATATACGTACAGAGTAATATTAATTAACTACATGTACTTACTACTGTATATGGTTAGGGTTTGGCTTAGGGCTACTTGCATGTAATTATGCATAATTATTTGTTATTATAATAGTAAGTACATGTAACCTGTAACAAGGACACCTTAAAATAAAGTGTAACCAATATTACTTTCGATTCATTAAAAATGAATTACAATACTTTATACCAGAGTATGCATATGTGCACACATGAATGTGTATTAGTGAAACCAATCCTAAGCATATTTACATGTATAAATGACCACTACGCTTCAGATAAGCCAATCTGGTTAGTCTCTCTATGTTGATTGCATGCTCTTTGTCATGTGTCGAGTCAAATGTCAAGTTCCTGTGATCTGCATTGCTATATTCATCTCAGCAGTAGTTGTGCACTAGTGTGACATCATCACATAAACCCCGATCTGAGTTCAAACTAAACTCTTTGTCCCCTGAGCTGAAGAGAGAGATAAAGTCAATCAAAAAGCACTTAATATAAGTATTACTGCATAACATTAAACTAAGTGGTAATAATGGCAAACAACTACTGGCTTATTTTGGATTTGACCCACAGGCTTATGGAAGCCTCTAAAATGATTGGCATTGTTGGAAATTGTTGTAAGTCATGGTGTGACGACCCAGACGTTGGGTGCTTCTCAAACAGAAGGCTGCATCCCAGTGAGCTTTCTAGGCTCCTTCTCAGCACTGAACGCTAAAATGAGATGGTCTAGCAAGTCCACATGTCTGCATCTTTGCGATTTCCACCCCTGCAGCCACAGCACAAAAACACTATTAAAATTAATTTTGAAAAAATACATTAAACATCTTTATATTGACTGAATTTCTATGAATGCATTACAGTGAATGTCAACTATCGGTTGTCTCCCTTGGTTTACATCATGGGCAGTTAATTTATAACAAAGCATAATGCCTTCATCTTCAATCATTTTTTTTTGTCTTGTATTACATAATGAAACTGGACCAGTTCAGTGCCTTCAAAACATGCTAAATGAAGGACACAAAACAAAGGATAATTCAAATTGAGATGGCCTTTGGCAGTGCTTGACATGGCGGCCCAGAAATGCATTCTTGCTAAGATGCAGACTTTCATTTGAGAAGCACCCTGCTGATGTTCTGACTGTAGAAGGAGCCGTGAAACTGCGAAGGCATCCTCATGGCATGTTTCCAAAGATGCATATCAGCTTATACATCAGTACTCGAAAGTATTGGAAAGATGCAGCTTCTTTATCTGTTTGGCATCTTCAGCAATCACTTGGCAGTATTTGATGGTGAATTATAAAAATCTGTTTGGTTTTGTACAGACATGGCCATTTTATTGTTATAATACATTTCAAACACAGTGGTAAGATGTGGGACTCAAAAAACATTTTTTGGAGAAGAAAAAGAAACTAAAATTTGGCTAAACATTTAGCTACTGTAAAATCCAAGATGGTGAACATTCCAGTATGGCTGATACAGAAAGTACATTGATTTTGGCTTGGCGCCATTGTAAAGTGGGAAACCAGGCAAAACACTGAACACATTGAGTGACAATTACTATATTTGATGACATTAAGAGACCGTGCCATTACTGGCAACTTCACTGTAAAATCCAATAGTTTACCTTACTTAGATTTAGTTAGTTATCTTTACTTAGTTGTTATACTTACTAGGTTTTATTAAGTTACAGCTACTTTCAAGGCAAATAAAACAATTTACTTACTGTTTTGAGTGACACTTACTTAAAATATTCAAGTAGCCACAAAGGAACCAATGACATTAATAAACCAATGAGAGGCAGCAGTGCACTAATATGTTGCTAATGTGCAACATAACAACAGCAGAAGAAGAAAAGAAAACGAGTCTTAATAGACTTTTCACTCATTTCCTCCATGTCTGCAATTATCTTTCACTAGTTGCATTCACTCGTTTCCCAAAGTCATCTTGAATGTTGAATTCTCAATACAACTGAAATATTTGAGAGAACATCACATAAGCTAACTTCATAAATTGATGTTGATTTTCCTAAAATGTGTTTTTTTTAACTCCCCATTATAGTGATTAGCAGTCCCTTTGGTTGGGCACTTTGAACTTGGTTTACGTTACTATAATTATCTTCCTGTTAATGTAGTAATGCATCATGAAGTCAGAGTTATTTGACTTCAAAGGAAGAAAAGTAATAAATAGGTTGCTTTTAGAAAGTGACCTCTCTTCTAATTAAAGCATTAGTGCATTAATTGTGTGTGTGTTCATTAATCAACTTTATCAAAAACTTTTTCATAAAGACCCTGATATGCTTTTTTTTGGGTTTATATAATTCTTAAATCGTGTGTGGTAACATGCTGAAGTCACACACAGACTTAAACATTCAGCACGTGAACCACAACAATGGTAACAATTCAATTTAATTTATTTTCATTACTTGTAACAATAGCCATTTTATTTGCTCTTTTTGTTGTGCTGCTACTGACACAAGACAGCAAATAAAATTGTCAAATAAAATCAACAACTATAAAACAAAGCAACTGTATAATTTATTCATACCGCAATGCACTCTGGGAGTCAGTGAGTAGCTATACTAAGTCATGAGTAAACCTAAATGAAAGGATCAAGTACCCCCTACAGTTCTTTTTTTAGTGACTAGAACTCTCGTGTAAGTAAACTATACTAACTAAGCATTTGTCAGTACAATATACTATTGCTATTTCACTTTACTTAGTTTTTTCAAGGCAATCGGTTTGCATGCTTTTTTTAAGTAAGCCCAACTAATTAGATTTTACAGTGTTCTTACCTTATGGTTGTTTGGGCTGCCTAAGAAAAGATAACTAATAAATCTTTGGTGCTTGATGCATATTTTCTCTACTTCATTGTATTTCAAACAGATATTTACGTACAGAGGAAAAATGCATATAAATAAATAAATAAGGTTACACTTTACTTGAAGGGGTGGGCATAAGACGGACATGACACCTTCATAATCATGACATGTCACCTACATAATAATGACATGGCACATGTCATGAATATGAAGGTTTTTTATGCATGTTGATGACAACTGTCATTAAGTGTCATTCGCTCAGTTATGTAATTTTTAATGCAAAGATGACATTGTTTGAGATGTCTTTGTTATGGGCTATGGTTAGGGGTAAGGGTAGGGGTAGGGTTAGGCCAAATAATGTCATATTTGCATTAAAAATTACATAACTGAGCGAATGACACTTAATGACAGTTGTCATAAACATGCATAAAACCTCCTTCATATTCATGACATGTGTCATGTCATGATTATGAAGGTGTCATATCAGTCTTATGCACACCCCTTTAAGTAAAGTGTAACCATAAATAAAATAAGACAAGAAAAGATACTTGCAGTTTTAAAACCTTGTAAACAAAGAGAACAAAATATGTTAGATAACAAAGGAAAGCAAGGAAAGTGGTTACTATACGAGCGTATTTATGAAGAGAGGGGTGCAGGATGCAGAAGACGATTTACTCCTTCAGGGAGAAAATGCTCAGGTGGCGCAGATCCCATTCGATGGACCACCGCTGAAATAACAAATATTAAATTACTGCTATGTGAGTCCCAGTAAATTACTGCTGATATCATTAACAAAATAATGAACTTAATAATATGAAATTATTCAATAGATTTAACTGACTAGAGTGTAATAAATGAACGTCGAAAAATAAACATTTGTATTATAATGAGTTAAAGCCCTAATTCAACATAAATTATGCTCTTGTTGAACTCAGCTATAATATTTATACTATAATTTATATGAACATGCTATTGATCAAAACCAAGACCGGTTCATGGGTCAGTGTGTTCATTTCTGCGTGTCTGTGTGTTGTTGTCGCCGAGCTAATCAGGGGTGCGTTTCTCAAAAGCATCGTTAGCTAACTATGGTTGTTAGTTCCATTGAACTCTATTGGTAATGACGGAACTTGCGACCATAGTTGCTTTTGGGAAACGCACCCCAGAGCGGCTGTACCTGTAACTTAGTGCATTACCACTACCTTTATCTGCTGTGCTTGTTGTCAGATCGTTGTGTGCTCATGCCCTGTCGTTGTTTTCACCAGAGTTTCTCTTGTTCCTGGGTTTGCTTCCTGCCTTGTGTGGATTTATATTTTATTTATTTATGTAGTCATTTAGCAGACGCTTTTAACCAAAAAGCGACTTACAAATGAGGACAATAAAAGCAGTCAAAACTAACAAAAGAGCAACAATATATGAGTGCAAATGACAAGTCTCGGTTAGCCTAACACAGTACATGTAGCAAGGTGTATGGTTACACTTTATTTCGATAGTCCACTATATGTCAATTAATTCTCATTAATTTGCAACTACATGTCTACTAACTCTCAGAGTAGACTGTTAGGGTAGGTTTAGGGTTAGTAGAATAAGTTGACAAGTCTCGGTTAGCCTAACACAGTACATGTAGCAAGGTGTATGGTTACACTTTATTTCGATAGTCCACTATATGTCAATTAATTCTCATTAATTTGCAACTACATGTCTACTAACTCTCAGAGTAGACTGTTAGGGTAGGTTTAGGGTTAGTAGAATAAGTTGACAAAGAAAGTGTTAGAAGGTATTAAGCAGACAGTCTACTAATACTCTTCTAACTGCTAGTTGACATGTAGTTGCAAAGTTACTTACTGTTAATAGAATGTCTAAAGTGGACTATC